TAATTTGAAAAATTCTGAAGTAGCCTAAATTGTACACGCACGTGATTGGTCAAATTTGACCTCTTACATGCTCTAACTCTCACACAAGACGTATTTTCGCCGGGGGTTACATTTTGTTGGCTACGTTCTTAGAGAATAGGGTGACTCTGACTCATTTTAATCATAATCCATAATGGCCTTTATCTCAACAGTTACAAAAATCTCAGGACTTTTACCATCTATTGGTAATTGTTCTGGAATAAGTAAGTTTTCATTTATATTTCCGATGCGATTTGGGTCAAAGGCCTAGTAATACTAATATAGCTAGCCTGCATAGGCCTGGCCCTAGCCTACCCTGCCTGTGCTGCGGTCTGTTCGCAGGCCCTATTTGAGGTAGGCAGGTCTGGGTTAGGCCTAAGAGTAAAAGTGAAGTTTACCAGCCTTAATGATATGTAGCTTTTATAGGCTAACATGCACCTAGGCCTAGCTAGATAATATTTTAAGAAGTCTAGGCTAAGCCTATATCTAGGGAAGGGTAGCAGGTGAAAACGGCAAGAAACCAAAGAAAGCGGCAATGACCAACAAAATGGCAATAAACCAAAACGGCAGTGATTAGTACCAAAACGGCAACAGACCGAAATGGAAAAATGACAAGTAACAAAACGGCAATAGGTATAGAGCCTCTAGACTAAAATGGCAAAGGTGCAAAATCAGTGCCAAGAGAACTGCAATCGGGAGCGGGCTGCAGCTTCTTTTCTGAATCATTATTTTTTAATGTTTAATCGCGTTCTTTTTAAAATATTTTTTTACACATCCAGGACGAATTGTTTAGATTCCTCATTTTGTCTGTATTTGAAAGTATTTTTTTGACTGTTTACTCTGCATTTATATTGTGTTTCCCTCGATTTTTTTATTATTGAATATGTATGTTGTTATTGTTAGGCTGATTATTATTATTTTTTCGCATTTTTTACTTCTATGACATAAATTGTTTTAGCCTCATTTTGTTTATATTTTTTAAGTTTTTTTGTTTATTTGGTTTATTGCCCTTTTGATTTATTGCTGTTTTGACATTGCCGTCGGTTTTGGTCCATGGCCGTTCTAGTAAAAAAGTGTTGCGGTTTTGGTCATTGCCGTTTTGACTAGAAAGTTCTGAGAAAGGCCTGTCTGAGGAATATATACGCCGCACAAAATTTTACCTAGAATTTTGCCAGAAATTACTGTAGGCTTTGACCAATATATAACCAATGCAGTCCGCTTTTTGCGTCCGATCAGTTACGTGATCTGTATGCGGTACTCCGTTTGTTATTTTTTTTAATGCTCAAGTTAATACACTGTAAATATGGCAGATCATTGTCTGTTTTAACGATACCATAATTGCTGTTTCTGTATTTTTAACGTGAAATTTCTTTTGCAATATCACTAACAAAGGTTTCAATATTACTGTTGTAATGTTCGAGACGTTTGGACATTGGACATCAAAAGTCATGAAAGATATCAATGGTAAAGCTTGGACATAATATTGAAGTCAGACTCCGAAGGAAAAAAAATTTTGATGATTTTGATTGATTTTTTGAAAAAAAAGGGGCTTAACCGCCCTTTTTTACAACTTTTCCCCCAGTTTTTAAATAATCAAATATCTGTATCTCATTCACCATTCCCCAGTTTTTCGTCTTAGAAAAATCAGTGCTACAACATATCAAAAATTTGTTTTCCTCTGGAGCCTGACTTTAAGGAAATGTTTACAATGTACGTTTAGTAAGCGGCAGCCTTTTGCTGCTGTGCACGTACACAGACCTCCCACAGTCCTGGGCCTAAAAATTAATTGTAAGGCTGTTTCAGTCATACTGTACTCATAACAAAAAAAACTCTAGCACAACATACAATATTTCTGAATGTTACACTAGAAAATAACATTTCAAAAGCCCATAAAACTTAATAAACCACCCTCCTGAAGTGATTTGATAGTGTGCAGCACTGGGTGATGCCTAGGCCTGCCAGCCCGCTTGCTGGATATGTCCTGTCTAAGACATTTATTTGTCTTGGATTGGTGTTCAAAATGAACGATTGTTTAATCATTTATGCTAGTCGTAACTATAATATAAAATATAATATAGTTGTAAGAATACTTCATTCTGAAGTATTTCTGTGGTTCTTCATTTGTAGGATTGTGGATTTACTTTGGATGGTGATCAAAATATATGATTAGTTAATCATTTATGCTAGTCATAACCATAACATAAAATATAATATAGTTGGGAAGTATTAGCATTGAAAAGTATTAGAATTAATAAATAATTAATACAAACCCCACCCCCTGCAGGCCTTGGCTGGCCGTGGCACTAGGTACGAATTCAAGCTTAAAATCAACTTTTTATAAGTTTACAGCGATAAAATATTACATAAAATTCAGCTATATTGTACACGCTAACTTTTGAATTAGATTTTTTTATGAATGATATTCTCAAATAAATACTTAGCAAATAAAGTCTGACCATGATTTACAGAAATTTAGAGTACAGCTTTGCTATTCGATATCAAATGTATTGATTTAATACCGCATACAGATGATGTCGCTATCCCGAAGTAACCTAGCGCAAAAGGTGGATTATGCAGCAGTTGCGATTCTGTGCACCTACTTTCCTAGCGCTTTTCCGCGCAAATTAGTGCTGATTTTTTAGGTATCCTCCGCTCAATTAAAAAACATTACAGTATGGTCTAGGTCCTCTAGTATTTATAGTAGTAGTGAAATAATTTTTAGTCCCATTGGCATTATTTCTACAAAAAGCTAACTAAAGTTTAAACAGTTAAATAAAAATAAGGATGTACTGTAGGCCTACATTATTGGTGGTATTTGCACAGGTTTTTCATTACTATTATTTTTTGCACACATTGTCATAAATATGTGCTATTTAACATTAACGTTTAACCAGTCAACAATCAATAGTGTTTGATGATGCCCATACTGTACAGTATTTTATTTGCACAGATGATACATCAAAAACTAGCTCAAATTTGTGCAAAAATTCACCAGGAAAATAGGTGCGCAGAATCGTAACTACTGCATCATACATACAGTAGTTACAGTATGTTAAGACATAAGGTAGTTCATAAATACAGTAATACTATTCATAAAGTTTTCATATTTTTTTAATAAACTCTGGGCTTTTAATCAATTGAAAAAGTTTATAGTAAACGTCTATAAACATTGAAAACTCATTGGAGGGTTTTTTTTCATTGTAGGTCTCATTAAATGTTATGACTTTTTTTATTCTTTTTTAGTTAAATTTTTGAGGTTTTTCCAGATTTTACCCACAAAAACAGTATCAAAATCTAAACATAATGAAATGTATGGTACTGTATCATGTATTTTTACAGGTGGTCTTAGGTGTTTGAGTACATCATTACATCATAATGCGGCAGCTAAGAAGAATCTATCAAAACCAAATGTGAAAAACATTGTGTTGGTTGAGGGTGTCAGAACACCTTTCCTCATGTCAGGCACTGAGTAAGTCATCTCTCTGATTAATAATAGAAACAATAATGAATTAATTGTGTCTCTTGTTATTAATCGTATCTATACCAGAGCCATTCTGATGATGTGAGCAATCCTTAATATCAAACCTGTTTTGAAACAATTCATTTCTTGTCACCATATGTTCAGTAATTTTTTTTGTTTTTATTTTTAAAGTTATGCTGACTTGATGCCTCATGATCTTGCAAGGGGAGCTTTAGAGTAAGTTTGATTTTGAAATGATTAATTATAGTCATCATTGCCATAAATATATCAATTTTATATAAATGTAACTGATTCGCATTAAAGTCTTTTACACATTCAAATTAACCAAAAAACACCAGTGACCTAGTGTTTAAGCATATTTAGCAAGATGCCAGTCCCCTGCACTCTTGCAGTATCTGCAATACTGAAAGGTTTAAGCAGTTAATGCCTTTTTAATTTTAAATGAATTATTAATTAATTAATTAAATTAAAGAGATGTAGTCTATTTTGTGAATACTTAACTGGATAAACCGACTAATTGCCTATTCATTCTCAAACATGAGAACACCCCTCGAAAACAAAATGGAACAGTCGGCCCTAGTGCCAAGCACAAGCGACCTCGCAACAATGCTTTTTCCTCATTCTTTTTCGATACATCGATTGGAATACTACACCTCGATTTTCGTGTGTTTTTGGATTAATTTTAAATGAATTAAAGAGATGTAATTTATAGATTACTTTTTATAATCATGTCTCATGTTGTTTTTTAAGGGGGCTTGTGGCACATACAAAAATTCCAAAAGGTAAGTTACTCTTGGTAATACATGGAGTACATTATTTTCAGAAATACTGTAGATCACGTGACAGCAGATCACTTTGTCATGTGACGGACAATGTGGTCCTCAAATTCTTGGCTTTGCCCACTTGATGTTACTTGTAAGTGCGTTAATGTAGTAATATAGTTAAACTTAGTGCTTTATACCAAAGTCTCAAAGCACTCAAGGGGTGGAGTAGCTTGCACATTAACTTCCTTCCCCACATGTATAAGGACACCTCTTACATTATGTCTGTATGTCATTAAATTTTGCAGTTATACAAAAAGTTTAAATAAAATTTTATAATATCCTTCTAGATGCTGTTGATTATATATGCTTTGGAACCGTAATTCAGGAAGTTAAGACAAGCAATGTTGCCAGAGAGGTAAGCAGTAATAACAATGTCTAGAATGGATTAAAAAAGGAATTTAATAATTTTGAAATTTACCATAATTCTGTCAAAATGAGAAGAATATAAGTTTTCTCTGTCTATGATTGCATAATTGTATATTGAGTGCTTTGTTTTGTTAGGCTGCATTGGGGGCAGGTTTCTCAGACAAGATTCCAGCACACACTGTAACAATGGCATGCATATCTTCCAACCAAGCCATAACATCAGGTATGTAGGCATTATTATACAAAATATCTGGAGTAACAAAATCATAAAAACTTTCGATACATATGGTGTATCAAAAGTAATATGATTTTGTTATTGATACCATGCAAACTTTCAAGAAATATATTTGAAGTATTTACCATACTTTTGGAATGTTGGAGTTTTCTTTAAAAGCCAGGCTCGGGAGGAAAAAAAGGGTGGTTACGCCCATTTCTCCCTTTTTTTTAATTATTCAAAAATCTATTTCATTAACCGTTCCTCAAGTTTTTTGTTAAACACCCTTTTTGTGTCTTCATAAATCAGTTGTATAACACGTTTGAAAAAAGTTGTTCCTCCAGAGCCTGGCTTTAAGCAATCCATGTGCTTTCTGAGATTTCTGTGTACTACTGGAAAGCACAACTCAGTTGTCTAATTTTCATTAAATAAGCACTACTTAAATATTACAGAGATACAGCTTACAACACAACATGGCTTGAACTTGTTCATTCTTGTATTTAATTGTTTATTTCAGACCTGAATTTTTATATCATAATTATTGATAGCATGGTATTAAAACAGACATACAGTATAATTATTTTTTTCTTTGGGTTTTTTCTCTTTAGCAATAGAGAATCCTTAAAAGATATTGATAAAATTTTCAACAATCATTTGTGAGTTTTTTTTTTTATTAAATTAAAAAACATTTTTGTAAATGTACATAAATATAATAAACATTTTTGTATTGCTTGTGTATTTTTGTTTGTAGTGATGGGTATG